GGGGGGGGGGAGCAGAGGGGAGTGAGTGTTCCTGTTCAGCACGCAATGTTTTGATTACTATCTGTACTGGAAATATATCAGCAAGCTTCAAAGGAAGCTATTTTCAATTAAAAGGGTTAAGATTAGTTTTCAGGAACAAAATCATGTGTAACCAGATATAACTATTCATTAAAGCTACTTCTACTAGAAATCAGAAACATTTATTAATAATAATACGTCTACATTCATTTTTTTTAAGAAACAATTTTTAAAATTGATAGTCCTTACATTGGTGTCCTGAAGAGTTTAGTACCTTATAGGAAACATTACCACTCTGAAATTACATGTTCTAGGTAGAATTAAGGAAGAGGCAACGTCTTGCATATTATTTCTGCTATCAGCCCCTTAATGAGAATCTAAGCTAAAAGTAGCGGTTAAAATTCCTTACCATAATACAAATTCTTTTGAGGAGAAAAAAGAAAAACAAAAGCGATATTGTATTTAATTAAATGCATTAACAAAACACCAGAGCATCTGCATACTAATATTTTTACAACAGTTGTGCTTTGTGCCACTGAATACAGTTATTTGTAAGCAACAAAGAAGGGCATTTATGTCACAAAAGTAGCTTCTCCCAATGCATAAGCAGCAAGCTATAAAGTATAAATCTTTTCTGTATGTTTTTCTTTTAATAATGAAAGTTGTGTTTAATTTTTCCTCTATATTTTTACTCTGTTAAATCATCCTCTTAACGAATTGTTAAAAATGTATGGAAGAAAAGATTGCCTACATTTGCGTTAATTTTTCAACTGAATTCTTTCAAAGTGTGTATATATACCCTTAATTCCCTAAGGATACTTACTACATTAACAAAACCATTTGTCACATATGCATATATGTAGTTATATATTTGTGTGTGCTTTATTTATCAATTCAGGTACCAGAAAACTAACTTTAATTTTATTATAATAATAATGGATTCAAGATCTATTCCATCATGAATTTAGCTATGATTCTGATTTCTTTTCTTTTTTTTTTTTTAAGGTGAAGCTTATCCATTAATATGGTATTACAACAGTTACAGCAGAAAGTGAAAGAAGACTTCTTGCCTATGGTAAGTTAATTTTACAGGATATACTGTCTAGGGAAAGAAATGGAATCTTTGCAATTTCTTTTTTTTTTGCAAAGAGGAAATAATTCTGCAAAATGAGTCAATTTAAGTAATAACTTTGGAAGAAATCACTTTGTCTGAAGTATATTACTAAACATGCTTTACTTTAAAATAAATAAATATGACTAAAATCACTGTAGGCCAGACTAGACCAACCCCTACATGGCTGTGCAAGTGAGAGGAGATAGCACTTTTGCTTCACATCATCCATGCAGTAGGAAGTGGTAGTTGCTATGTACCCCAGAAACAGACAGGGCAATTGCTCTGTATCTCTTAAGAATACTTAGAAGGCTTGACCAACTAATACCAGAACCATATGCTGAATATTCCTGAAGGGCAATAAAGGTCCACTGCCCTTGGCCATGTTTTACAGATAAAGTCTTCCTTATGCATTTATGCAATAGTGAGTCAAAACATTTGTTCTCATTAAACAGTTACCTCCATGCTGTGTTTGAGTACGACTCCCCAAAACAGGGGGTAGAGATTGACTGGGAAATTCCAGACAGCGTAGAAATGGAGAAAGCCAAACTGCTTCATAGTTTCTAGGGTCGGAAGGGAACCAACCTGCACAGATCATCAAGTCTGACCCCCTGCCCTGGTAGGAGTGCTGGTATCATAATACCCCAGCCAGATCCAACCTCCTCTTGAAGACCCCCAAGGTAGAGGAGAGCACCACCCACCTTGGGAGCCCATTCCAGAGCCTGGCAGCCTTCACTGTAAAGTAATGCCTCCTGATATCAAGCCTGAACCTACTCGCAACCAATTTGTGGCCATTATTCCTTGTTATCCCAGGTGGTGCCTGGGGGAACAGAGCCTTACCTATTTTCTGCTGGTCCCCCCTGATGAGTTTATAGATGGCTACCAGGTCCCCTCTCACTCTTCTCTTGTGGAGTCTAAATAGATTCAGGCCCTTTAGTCTATCTTTGTAGGGCCTGGCCTGCTGCCCCCTAACCATGCGAGTGGCTCTCCTCTGGACCATCTCAAGGTTAGCCACATCCGTCTTGAAGTGCAATGCCCAGAACTGGACGCAGTACTCCAACTGTGGCCTGGCCAGTGCCACATAAAGGGGAAGGATCACCTCCCTGGACCTGCCTGTCATGCATCTACAGATGCATGACAAGGTGCGGTTAGGCTTACTGACTGCTTCCTTGCATTGGTAGTTCATGTCCATCCTGGAGTCAACAAGGACTCCAATCAACAATGACTCCAATTGTAAAGGGAACAATTAATGGATTTGACTCCATTGGCAGAATGCTGCATTTCTAACCCTCAAAAACATACTTGTGTGAGTTTTTAAAATAGTGTTGGCCTAGCCCTGTCCCCACTGTAGGAATTTTCAAGCTACTACTGATTTTAACAGAAGCATCTAGTCCAAGGCTAAATGTGTGTTTAAATGTAGCCATGTATCAATGCTCAGTTTTAAAAATAATAATAGGTTCACATCATCATAGGGAAATGAGACTCTAATGGACCTCACAAGGTCTAGTCCAGCCCCCTGCTCAAGGCAGAAGCATCCCTGACTAAACCATCCCAGCCAAGTATGTCTAAGCTGCTTTTAAAAATTTCCAAGGATGGACTGTCACAATTTTTCTATGTAGCCTGTCCCAATGCTTCACCACTTCATCGTCAGAAAGATTCTCCTAATCTTCAACCTAAATTTTCCCTGAAGATTGAGGCTCCTTGTCCTGTCCCCTATGGTCACAGAAAAAGGCCCATCTCCATCCTCTCTATAATTGCCCTTCAGGTATTCGAAAAGTGTTACCAAATCCCCCCACTCTTCTCCAAACCAAATAACCCTAGTTCTATTAGCCTCTTCTCATAAGTCTGGTTTCCCAGGTCCCTAATTATTTTTGTTGCTTGACTCTTTCAAAACTATCCACATCCTTCTTGAAGTGTGGGGCCCAAAACTGGACATGGTATTCCAGGCGAGGCTTTAATAGTGCTGAATAGAGCAGGAGAATCACTTTCCTTGATTTGCAAGTGACACTCCTATTAATACAACTCAGTATGCTCTTGGCTTTTTTTTTTTGCAACAAGAACACACCATTCACTCATATTCAGATTATGGTTTCCTGTCATCCCTAGATCCTTCTCTGCATTACTGGAGACTAGCCAGTCATTCCCCAATCAGTATTTGTGCATGCAATCATTTTGTCTCAAGTACAAGAACTCTGCACTTGTCCTTGCTGAATCTTATCTAATTGATTGCAGACCATC